GCGTGACGAATTTCCAGGAAAATAACTAGTTTAACATCAAAAGAGCAAACCTCAGCACGAGAGAGCGCCTCAAGTTCTTCTACTTTCTTCTGTGCAGCTAAGTCTCTACCTTTATTCAATACTGCACGGCTTTGGTAATAGCTTCCATTCTGTAGAACAATACAAGATTTACAAAGAGTAACTCTTAATTCACAATCAGCCCAAATCATCATTCATCACAGAAAATGCTCCAAATTTGTAGAAATGCAAAAGCACAGTTTCATGAACCAGTCAGTTTCAGAAAGAGAATGAAAAGAACATTCAAATACCGTCGCGTCACGTTGCTTCCTGATCTCCTGAATGTTTGAAAAAGTTTTGTCTCTCTTCTCAGTCACAATCTTGAGCTCATCCTCCAGCACTTGAATCTCGGCTTTCGAAGCTTTTATCTTTTCACTCAGCTCATTAATCCTTGCTGATATTGCTTGCCTCTCCTTTTTAACTCCATCCAGACCAGAACCCATTGACTAGGAAACATCACAGAAAGCATATGAAATAGTTTCTTTCGATTCTACGTCTGAGACCCAACAAACTGAAAGTACAGTTCGATTACCTTAACTTGATCTTGGATATCGTCTTTATGACCTAAAGACTCCTTGATTTTGGCTCTTAGTGCCTCATTAGCAATGACCTTATCCCTTGTCCCTTCAAGCTGCCTGATCTCTTTGAGAAGCTGCTTCTCCTCGTTTAACGGAATGGTTTCGTGTTGAATACGATAATTCAAGCTGTATATCTTCATATTCACCAACACAGAAGAATTACCAACCAGAAGAACCGATTAAAACAGAAATACTATCACCTGTGGAGAAGAGTAGATCATATACCATATCATTTAGCTCTTTCTCAGACGAACAGATACCCGGTCCACGAGTCCCACCGTCATTGCTCCTCAACTTTCCAAGTGCCTGCTGCAACGGCTCCATTTCTTTCTTCTTCTCATCGAAAATGTTATTGAATCCCTTACGCTCAGATTTCAACGGCTCTAGAAGATCGAATAACTCAGATTTCTCGGCCTAATCAATACAATAACTTCCACAAGACAATCACAAACCCATACATTTGAAACTACACAATAATCTTCTTCCACAGTTCCACTGCAAATGAGTTTCAAAACTTACCCTCTTGGCTTTCAGCTTGTCGAAAACTCCAGCTCGAGCAGTGTTAAATTTCTGATGCTCTTTGTCAAGTTGATCAAGCTTAGCTTTGATTTTGGGGTCCTCGTAAGAGCGTTGTTTAACAAAGTAGAAAGCATGTAGCTTCCTCTGTGCAGGCCACTCTTCAGAGACATCTTTTGGACCATCAGATTTTGATACTTCGTTGTTGTTAGTAGTCTCTTCAGCTTTGCTTGGCTCATCGTGTGAACCAAACTTGATCGAGACTTTACCTGCTTTTCCGTTCTGCTCCATTGGCGTTGGAGCAACCTCGAATCCGTCAGAATTTCCGACCATTGTGTGTTAAACTCACGGAACCTAATAGCATATAACCGTTTAGTATTCGAGCGATCTCTATGAAACGAATCTGCAAAACTAGACAAATGGGCAATCTCCAAGTATCTTTAAGGATCGATCTTTAAAAGGAGACTTTGACAATTCAGCAAAAAGCAAGAAACTTTAAAGATTGCAAAGTTGAATCCGATCAGGGAAAGAGCGATACGCATAGAGAAGAATTCGAAGTAAGAAATCAAATAAAAAGGCAAAAATCGAATTTGAAGAGATCCGAAAATCATCTCACGGAAGTCAAATGAAACAGAGGTGATCAAGTAGAAGAAATAAATCACCCAAAATGGAAGAAGAGTAGAAGAAAATCAAGTAGCTACACAAACAAAAAAGAAGAAGATTACCGTGAAAGGGAAAAGAGAGAGATGGAGATCTGAGGAAGATAATAGAAGAAGACCTTTTACAGTACGAAATTCTGGAAATTAAACGGAATTAAAATCTCCGAGCTCTTCACGACGTGTCCCTCTCTTTAAATCTTTTTACTGAAAAAAGAGATGCATTTTGTTATGTCATTTATTATTTATTAGTGCCACTGCCAAATCTTTGTTTGTATGTAGCCTCTTCTTGTAGATAAGTTTTTTCATTACCTAAATAAACTTTTTATTAAAAATGAGTTACTATAATAAATTTTATGAGCACTCAGCACATTCAAATCCACAAATGGAGCTTGAGAAAAGCCATTGCCAATTTCTTCACCCTTCCAACAAACTGAAGGTCAGATTACAAATATATCATCTAACTCACAACGGCCAACTCTAAACAACTGGGAACGGCTCATGTAAGCTTAGGCCGGTCCAAATCATATTCTACAGCTTTGAAGGCATATTCAAAAGACTATCCTTGGACATGAAATTAGATGAATGCAAAATCTGCACAATGTCACCATTCCAGTTTGGTTCACCCTAAAAAAATACATGGGACTAACTCTACTCAATTTTGATATTAAGTGGATTTCTTCGAATATCGATGATGAACTTATGATGATTCAGAAACCATGGCTTGATCCAACACAAATGGGAGAAGCGAGATACTAGTTGAGGTAATGCTCAATAAAATTTTCCGTCAAAAAGTTGATTTTGCAGATAAAAAGATGCAACAACAGTGGTGGATGTTGTTTATTTATGGTTGCCATATATTTGTCTTATAACAAGTTTGTCCTTCTGATGCATTGGAAAACGAGAATATTAATGCCTCTTCTGGAATGTCTTAGATCTCATGTCCATGCAATTGGCTCGTCTCCTATAGCTATCAACTATGGAAAATGGGTCGAGAAAGGGACTAATCCAGTTCTTACAACCTTTGTTGCTCTAATTTATACTCGCATCACACACCCAGACTTGGTATTCTAGGTGTGCAATGAGTGCTTATTCACAGGACTTCACAGTGGGCTATACAATTTTGATTAATTTTTTTTTTGTAAAAATATCCTAAATGTCTGTATGGTTTTGTAAAACAAGCCCTAGATATATATGTAAATTTTTTAAAATGAGTTTAAATTTTGAAAATATAACTTGTTGCTACTCCCATTGCACTAGATATTGTATAAGCTACTTCAAATATCTTATGTTCTCTTATAGTTACATGTGATATTAACAACAACTGGTCCATTGTAAGACCAAACCTCCACTTGCAAACAAGTACCCCCTCCTACTATTCAAGTTGAGATCAATCAGATTTAAGTACAAACCGGTTTGCTACTGTAATATGGTGAAGATATTCACGTTTCGAAAGAAGATTCTAACTGATAGATCTTTTGACATCATCAAACAAAATAAATTTTAGAAAAAGATTGATTAAACCATCAATAAAGACCAAAGAGATATTTTGAC